GGCAGCCCTAATCTGTTACTATGGCTGCCGAAATAAAACGCAAGATGCTCCGCCATACAGGTCCGGGCCTAACAGTTTGTGTGTTGGCACAATCGCATGCTTCCATTTGACGAGGTCCCCTGGAAAAAGGCTTTGCTGCAGACAAGTACCCTCTGGCTGGTCCTCCACACTGGCAGCGTGCCGGTGTGGGTCGTCTAGGGCGACCGAGATGGGGCAATAAGAGCAGAGAAGTGGCCTTTGCCATTTAAAAACGGGGCAGCCTCCCTGCGGCCGAATAGGTTTCTCCTCAATGCAAACTCGCTCGCAGTGTGCGGATATGTGAAGACGGGTGGTTAAGCCTACAGGGGCCCATTAACGGCAAAATCCGTGTCAAGCGCCGGTCCGAGGTTTCTACAACCCTGTGAGTTTTTTTGTCCAGTCCGCTGTCAGCTGTAAGGAAGTCCCTGAAAAGATAAAAAAGTAGGCTGATCCCGACTTGGTTCCGTAGGCCAGAGTAAGAGCTGGAGGTCCGGCATGGGGGATATGGGTCAGTGCTGGTGAGGAATGCGTGCCCTGCAGCCCAGAGAAGACCTGGTCCGAGCCCAACCAAAGTCAAAACCTTAAAACCTTTGCAATACATAAAAGCGGCAAAACATTTTGAATTCCCTTCACGTGCTGCTTCGTGATAAACGTCATGGTGCACTTTGTACAACCCTCATTCACCAGTGGTGTGCTGCACATATATTCCAGGAAATGTTCTGTTAGATTACATTTAGAAAGAAAAAGGTTGCCCAGTGTTACCGCACGCACTGACAGCAGTGCAGAAGTAGCTACATCTCATCCATTAATACAGAAATGTGTATCTCAAATTCCTGAGGCATGTTTTTTCCCCAGGTTTGCGACTAAGGTTACATAGTAATGGAGGGTATTTATGTAATCCACCCTGTATTTTCTAATGACCATATTTGCTTTCTGATGGGATTTAAAATAGTCAAGACTAGTCTAGACCAGCTAGAACTGAAGCCAACAGGGGCCGTGCACTGACTGACTGGCAGCATTCCTGGCTTGTCCTCATGGTTACCGGCAGGGGAGATTTCAGGCAGCCTAAGCCACCCGGTCATTCCCCCAGAACTTTACAGCCAGGATCAAGTGAGATTTAGATTACAAAGTGGCCCTTGAGTCCTACAATGGGCTCCAGAGTGCCTAAAGGAGTTTCATGTTAATGTTGCAGTGTGGGCATGCTCCTAAACTGCTGGAGGGCTCTTGAGCAAGACACAAAAATCACAAAGTTCCAGCACTGACCCTGACCTCTGCACTTCCTCTGGTGGTGGGGATGGAAAGAGGACAGAGTCCTGGGAGGTTGGGATCATCCAAAGTGCTGCTGTGGCAGAGTGAAACAACAGGCGACAGAGCATTGTACATACCAAGCAAAATCTGTTAAAAATATTATTCTCAAAGGCTTAAAAGCTTTTTCTTAAAAGCACGTTGCTTTCATAATAAAGTGTCATTCTCTGTTGTTGCCGTGTTCTGCCTAGTTTCAAAATAACATTTATTTCCGGAAAATTCCAGGATACACTGCATTTCACAATCCCCAATCTCCACAGGATAAAATAGTGTCATTTCCTCCGATAATAGAAACTGTCCCTCCTTAAAGTAGCAGTGTTTGTAATGCCATTTAATCCCTTTGTCAAACAAAGAGACCTGCTCTGCTAACGTCAAAATATGTCAAACTTCATCTGTGTAACTTTGCGCCGACAGCCAACACTGGTGGTCAACATGATAATATTTGGGGTTTTTTCTTTCGCTTTTGAAAAAGAAAAACTTTGGTAAAGTTAGTTCACAAATGTAATGTTACCTCTGCGTCATTGCGGTAAGTTAATTAAGGTAAAATGGGCACAGCGGTAAGCAAAAGTCAACTTCGGGCACGGTGAAACTGGCAAACGTAGCAGTTAAAAACCTTGTTTCTACCATTGTTTCTTACTTCTGTGTCTGCCGGCAGTCCAGGACTGTTTCGCCATACTCGGGCTCCGGATAATAGCTCTCCCAGCCGACCTGAGGGCATCCATATCGGTGTTTTAAAAGCAGAGAGTCGGTGAAGTTTGCTGGTGAGTCCTGAGGAGAAATGTTGTTGACCAGACTGCTGATGGGGAGGATGGACTTGTGGTGCCTTCCAGTGCTGTCAGAAATACCGCTATTTACCAGGTCGGCGCACGTGAACGAGCCCAACAGAGAAGTAATGCTGCATTTGTGTCAAATGGGACATTAGAGAGCGTTAAGTTTCAGGTGGTTGTTTTTTATTGTTATTGTGTATCAGTGTATTAAAGCCAAATACTATTTTTTGTGGAAAAATGCTGCTCAGAAAGTATTAAGCCAAAAGTCTAGAAAACTTTAAAGTCCCCCTCCACTCAAAAAAACAAATGTTCTTCTTGCTCCTACAGTTGGATGTTTGAGCTTCACTGTGCAAAATGATGTATGTGCAAAGGATGTTTTTACATTCATCTGCTGAGAGTTAAGAGTTTCTCTGTGCTCATTAAAAATCTGATTTTTAAGGGGCGGGGCCTACAAGCATGATATGTGACATCACAAATAGTTAGGAAGTCAATTGATGAAGCAGCCATATGTCACTTTCTTGTCTTCAGAACGACCACGCCCCTTTCTGGGTGAAACAAGCTGTAAAAGTGCCTAGTGGTACACATCAAACAATACAAAAAAGACAGTTTAGAAAGGAAGAAAAGATCTGTGGCTTTAGGCAATCCACAAAGAGGATAAAAAGGTTACTGAGTAAATGACGTGTTGCGAATGTAGATTGAAGAGAATCAGTAAAAAGCGATAGTGATGGTGTAAATAGTTATTGTTATTACTGTGAAGAGATATGGCCCTACCATAGAACACCCACTTTTGAAATGGAGTTTGGTTTGACATTGTGGCACAGAGGGTTTTTTAACCTTAATAATTCACATCAACTGAGCTGATTTACCTTCTAATGATGAACCTTGTAAACAGCATAAAGTAACACAGGAAGCAGATGTTTTCTTCTTTTCTCAGCTCACAGTAAAAGGTCGATTAATAAACACAAACGGCGGTTCTGCTTCGCCACAGCGATGTAATTAGTTTACAGTAACGTCACATTGGATGGATGACCAAAACAGAAATAAAGTGTTTAATGACAGAAACAGTGTCAGATGTCAGAAATATGAGATTCAAGCCATAGGTATTTGGCTAGTATTAAATTGGCAAAGACTTTGCTTGAGACATCTTGTGTCCAGCAGGAAAAACACAAGAAATTAAACAAATTTGCATATTTATAGATTCTGGAATTTTTAATGAGGTAGAAAGAGTAGATGCATTTTTAATGGGTTTGAATTATGAAATTATACTTTCAATGCAGGAAAAAACAAATTACACACATTATTGTTCCAAGCAGACTGCTTAGAATGCTATTATTTCATTACACATGAATGTGTCATAATTGTTGAGATGTGTCACTGCGGTAGATGAAGCCATGAAATTCACTAAATTAAAAAAAATGTATATTTTGATTTGAATTTTTATTAATGCAGGTTTCTATTTTCTCTAAGTTAAGTTTCAGATGCCATCCAAGCCAACAGGTCTTGTGTTGCGTTATCTTCCTAGAACTGGGCAGCTTAACAGCTGAAAATATTAGCCTAACAGCACATACTGACACACACACAAAACCTGAAAAAAGGCTTATATAGTTGTTTTGTCTGCCTATAGCAACCGAATGCAACTTGGTCTATGATTTTCTTACTAAGAAATAGGCATTTACAAGGAGTACCTGAAGGCAGCATCAAACCAAAGGCAACCACATGTTTTTCTGACTGTAACCACTGGTGGAGCAAGGAAGTTTGAGGTATAGAATTAATGTAGCTAGCTTGCAGGTCTGGGAGGTGACAAGATAAACTCAATGCTTGAAACATGTATGAGCTGTATGGCAATTCGTGCAACTTCCACATTATTAGTCTGGCAATTAAGAACATTTTTTACAAAATAAATATAATTTAATTTGTCCTGACATTAAGGTTCTATATTTAAACATCCCAAATGATATAGACCACACTGTCACCATCTTGTGGCTGATTCCAGGTAAAAAGTTTGGCCTATTGCTTGTGTCATAAAAAGGAAAACTAGACACACAGATCATGACACGTACACAGACTGAACAGCTTGCATCGCCACCAGCAAGACTTTCTTTAATAGTGATGGCCAAAGTGAAAAGTGTGACAAATTCACCATCACTTTGGGTAAAGAAAATAAACATAGTGGAACAATGAAAAGATAAAACAAAGCACTTTTTTTTTTTTTTTAAACCTTCTCTTCCTTCTACACAAACTTGTTAAAGCAACTTGAGAACTGAATTCACAACACCAGAGCGATCCACGAAAAATACTTTTTCCAGGTAGGCAACATGACAGCACAACATGGTCAAACGGTCCAGGGGTAACCTTTTCCCAACACAACACATTCACAGAATCCTTCCTGGTAGAAAATAGAGGAAATCAACTGAATATGATGGGAAATATATCAAGGAGGTGCCACTCAACAAAAGTCTGTAACAAATAAATAAATGAGTGCATAACACCATCAGTCCAACTGACCACCTGCTGCTTCATCATGATCAGTCCAGAACCTTGTAAACACAACACCATTCAAATATGTTCCAATGACAACAAAAATAAAAATAACAGCACTCTCCTGCAAACATTATGCTAGCTACATCGATCAAAGTATGGATGGAAACCAAACATCAACACTTGGCACTTAAGAACTGAAATGAAATAAACAAAGAAAACATTCCTCAGTAAGTTAATGTACATTGTTGTAAACAACTAAATGCCAACTCTAGGGCACGATTATAGACAATCAGTTTGGTTGGTGTTTGGCACACCACGACTGTCACTATGAAATGACATGTCCAGTGTTATGTTTTCCCTTCAAGTCTGTAATATTGTGATCAATTTGTTAGAGAAAAAAACGACTGAATGCATCTGAGGTGACACTTTTTAGCCTTTGAATACTGAATTGAAAGAAATCTTGAATGAAAACCAGGAGAATTAGAGCTAGAGAGAGAAATGCGGCTTTGAGGCTTGATGCTTTTAGATCCCAGGATTTGCAAAGTATGTGGCTTTTGCATCTAAAAAAGACAAACTGCAAGGCACTGTAAAATCTGCAAATAATGGTAACGACCGGTTACCTCGACATCATTAAATCCAGTGAACGATATGGCCTAACAGGTTCTAATTTGGTCCAGAGGGAGAGGAAAGGCGTCTGCAGCAAACAGGTGGACATTAATATGACATTTTGGCAGTGCCAGGTCGAATCTAGCAGTAGCATTTTTTTTTTCTTTCCCAGGACAAAACTACATCTGCTTCATCCACTTACTGATAATCCTGGAGGCTTCGCTTTTCCAGCACTAAGACAACAAATTGTATTGGAATATCTGAAGAACACAGCAAACATATCACCATTTTTTTTTTAAGAAGAAATGCACATTGTCATAACTGAACTGAAACATTACAAAACAATCACTGATTTAAGTTAATGGTGATAGCAAAACATGAATAGTTTTACATTCATGTATCTCTCACAGGGCTTTACTTTACAGGTGAGTTTCAGACTCAAAGCCGAACTGAAAACACGTCTTCTGCCTGGATGTAAACCATCGTGAAAAGCCAATCGTTTTTTAAATCAAAAGTCTGGGTGTCAGTTCAGGGCTTTTTTATTTTTTTTTTACACTGACACCAAAAGAAGACTGACATGAAGCGATGCATGATGGCTCGTCTGTAGACATCTGGCCAACAAATTGTGTGTTCCTTTCTCCCCTTTCAAACAGATCTCGCTGTCTAATGGCTAAATCCCAAAACTCCAAAAAAAACAAAAAAAAAAAAAACCCCACAACCCCCCTCAAAATATAATAGTTCTCATAATAGAACCAAAAAAAGTAGCCAAATACACATATGTATGGAGGGGTTGTGTGCACTGTGTGTGTCTGTGTGTGTGTCATTATGTGGTACGTTAGAGTGCACAAACTGTCAGGGGCTGGAAAACTCAAAAATAACCCAAACCGGAACCGAGAGCTTCGCCGAGATAAAGAAAGAGACAAAGTTCTGTCTGACAAAAGTGTGGGTGTCACAGTCACTTTTTGAGGGGCTGGTAAACTGAGGCGTTGGGGTCCAGGGAGGAGGGACTATTGTCCATGAACTTGGAGGAGTAGTGCGGGGTGACGGGGCTGAGGTTGCTGCCGTCTGATGAGTAGGACAGGCTGGGCATCACTGCCATCACCTCTGCTATCTTCTGCTTCAGCTCCGCGATTTCCTGCTCCCTCTGGTGGATCTGGCCTGGATGGGACGAAGGAAACAAAGACGTTCATGTGACAGGGTTGAGGGCAGAGTAGGGGGACATTTGTTCTGAAGTGCCCTAGAAAATTAAATCCCTGACAGCTCTAGGACCACTCTTCCTACATGTTGGCATAGAGGTGGGCAGAGGAGACTCATTCCACCTGTGCTTTTCCTGCTGTGACAGGTCAAAAATGTCACTTTCCAGTTGGGTTATCGCCTCAGTATTTTGGAAACTGTAGTTCACTGATGCGCTATCACCACCATCAGTGAGAGACACGCGGTTTGAAAGCGTGAGTCATGTTTTCACAACGCAGCAATCTAATAGAGATTCTCCTGAGCAGCTGCTGTGGTATCAACATTATAAGAGAAACACTAAACATACCACACTATTATTATCTGTTATTGCTCATATTGCATGAAAGGAAAGAGCTGAATTTTCCATTCCCAAATATATGAAGAGGGCTGTGCGATAATGTGACAGTCAATTATAAGTTTAACAACATACTCTTTCACCTGTTGGACACAGGTGCAGGTCTGTTATAGTGTAACAAAAGAGTATATCAAAGAATAGGCGATGGTTCTACCCTCATGGTCATTCAGATTTATAATAGTTGGGAAAAATCACATACTGTTTCCATGATCTATATTACGCATTTCCCCTGCTTTTGTTTGGATTTGAAATAAACAACGCAAGCAAACAAGAAGACGTGATCTTTGCTGTGAACAGTGGTGGGTAAAAGTACTGAATAGTAATCACTTGATCCCATGGGGCTTTGGCACAGAGAGCAGCCGAGAACAGGGAAGAAAACACTGTAGGTGCCGCGAGCAAGCTATT